TTTAAATAACTGTCTCAGAAGATAGAATGGTTTAGATTACAGAAGGAGGTAGGTTACCATTTGCTGATGACAAGCCTTGCTGCTGCTAGATAGAATTAGTCTCAAGAGAGGGTACATGAAATTAAAGGAAACAGAACTCAAGAAAAGAGGCACTAGGTGTTTCAAAAGACTTATTTTCCCCATCAGGTAAAAACAAAACCAAAAACCCCTCTAGGAGAACATGTAAAAAGTTTTCTTCTTTCCTCTTGCACGCAGAGCTAAAGAAAGAATAGAACAGTAGAGAGAATCTCACAGCATTCAAAGCTATTGCTTTAAAAGACCAGGGAAGTGGCAACGGCAAGACTTCCTTTATGCCTTCTGCTGTTTTGATTTAGGAGAAAGATGAAAGCTTTCATATTTAGAGAAGGACCAACAGCTGAGACCTGAGTGCTAGCTCAGTAATGATCAGCTATTGAGAAATACTGCAGCACCAAACTGTCAGCTCAGTTTTCTTCAGTAGGACCAACATATATACATACCCTTGAACCCTTCTTTCTTTATTTGTTCCCTAGAACAGTAGGTTTCATTTGGCATTTCAATCCGTGCATTTATATGCATATAAAATATTTGTATATATGTGGTATGTATTAATCCAACTGCCTTGTCACATTTCATAGGAATAAGCCATTTGAATCTTAACGATTTAGTTTTCAAAAAAAAGTAATACATTTTTAGCTTGCCTTTTCTACTTACACTAATTATATCACCTTTTGTAGAATTGTTTATTTTTAAGGTTGTTGAAACACGCGGACTTTTTTTTTTGTAATATAAATCAACTATAACCCACTGAGAACTGCAAGTCAACAGCTGTCACATTCTAGCAAAAAGAGACAGGCAGTGTTCAGCCTTTTCTGGTTCTGATTCTCTCCCAGGTGAGCGATCAGCATGCCCCACTCCTGCCATGATAGCAAAAAGCAAGAATGAGTTCTAGACGAGAAAGCAGAGAAGTGTGAACTTCCGTTTCTTCCATTTCTCTATCCCATCCTTCCCCCTTCTTTTCAAGGTAGTATTCAACTCTATATCACTTTTTCCATTCTTTTATTTCTGAAAGGTTTAAATCCTGCTGCATACTGAGGTTTCTGAACTACAGCATTTTATCACCTCTAAATAATGGAAGAAGTCATTAAACAGAAGCATTATCCAGCCTGCTTTAGATAAAAAAAAAAGGCAGACAAGACTGAAAATTCACTGTTTTCTGCTACAGAGGTTCACTAGAACAAGCAAAATTGAATAGCCACATTATTAAAAGATTATAAATGCAAGTTCACACATGGCAGACATTGGTCCTTCATCTCACTGAAAGCTCATATCTTAGAAATGTGGGGTTCTAATCAATGAAGCTCTGTGTCAGACTCAATGGCAGTTTTGTGATGCAGACAAATAGCTATTTGAAACTGGTTTGAGACAGCCAATGTTTTTAACCTGAGGCAAACTGGTATTGTAGTGATAGAAATAAGGCCATTAAC